TTTAAAAAAATTTCAAAAAACGGGACATCACGTAACGAAACAAATAAACAACAAAATTAAAACAAATCGCTAACAAGCAACAAAATCGAATAAATCCCTCAGAGTAAAATGATTTAATGCAATGAAATAAATATCTGTGAGTGGTGTTTATTGAATTATGAGAAACTAGTTTAGTTTATTAATTAATTACAAAATTAATTTATTTATTTATTTGGGACACAAATAACAAATATTCTAATATAAGTATATAATATTATGGAAAAATTTGTTATTAACAAAAACAAAAAAAATGCGAATGAAATTTATTGGGTCAATATAAAGAGAAAAATATAAAAAAATTAAAATCGAATATTTTAATTCCAAAGGAGCATTAAACACAGGACACGCGGAAGCGAAGCTAATGCCATTCCTGTAATTAGAGAAGAAAAAGACAAAAATGTGAATTGAACAAAAAAGTTAATTAAACTCATGATGCGTGTCGATCCAAAATTGTAAGTCTTCTTTAGAAAATCATGTGAGATTGTGAACAAATCCAGGTCTGAGTTGTAGCGGGTTTGCAGCTCTCAGCATTCGCGGCAATTTTGAAAGTTATTGATGTGTTTGAAAAGAATAATAGTTTGAAATTGTAGGAGTGTTTCAGGAGTCGATCCTCCAATGTTAAAAGCTCAATTGCGTTCTTAATCATGTAACTTTAGTGTTAAGTTTAAATTTTCTTTGTAAAAGAGGTATTTTAAAAAATTTCTCTGTAAACTTTCAACTCTTCTATATCTTATATACATTATACCCAAGGCTTCAAATGACTAGGGCTACTATATTCAAATGCATATAATGAAGCAAAAAGCTTACAAGATTTTTTTAAATTTTTAATAAGCGTACGAAATTGAAATTGATTATGTTGGAAATCACGTGAAGCCTTTTCACTAAATTAATTAAGTAATTAAAACGAATTTCGTTTGTTGACTCAAAATTATGCAGGTTTGCCTATTGCAACCCTGATATCAACCGTTATAAACTTATATTAATTAATCAGCTTGTTCAAACTTCAATCCTCAATACCACTCAAAAATTTAGGGTAAGTCGGGTTTAGTCGCCATAATTTGCAGGCAGCATATTTTAGAGATAAAAAAAAGAACAGAGACGCATTCTCTAGATCAAAGTCCGGATATCGATGATATTAAGCTAACTTTTTTGCTATTTTCAATGACGTTAATAATATACCTCCGAATGCATTTTCCCGGCCGATCTTCGAATGGGGTAAATACAAGCGCAAATGGAACGCGGCCAATTTCCAAGGCTTAAAAGTATACGCCTGATGCAGACATCTCTCCTGCATTCGAACCGATCTTCAAGAGCATATTTTTGCTGCTTTAAGTTTAAAATCGACTGTTGCGATTTTAGCGTCGCTAAATCTATTCTAAATTTTCAGCAGCGAGTCAGTCTTAACACATTAATGTTTCATTTGAATTTATTTATTTATAGTTACAAAGTTTAGTAGAAGTGCACAAAAAATGAAGCTTAACGAAAGGCGATAATAGCAATCCAATATCTTACTGATAGGTAATACTACTATCAACCTACGATATTATTATAAATTTTCATGCTCATTCTCAAATTTAAACTTAGCGTTAAAAATAATATACACAAAAACTCAGAGTCTATGAGGTTATTTACATTTTATGTAAAAAATTTCAGTGATTGCAAGAGGATTTAACATATGCTAACACGCTTAGATATTTTCCGAAAATCTTTTTCTTCCAATAAAATTTAACCTTCTGCACATTGCGAGGAAAATATCAAAATGTTTTCCTCGCAGGGCAACAGAAAGGTTTAAACGATATAAATGGCAAACATTAGAGCCGGTGGCTTCGATTCTTCCAATTTTAATAATATATGTGCTCGAAAAGGTAGAAAAGCTTTTATAGGGCTCATTTGATATTGATGCGCATCAGAAATTCAGGGTAACTTTAAAAGTCGGGAAAACGAATCCCATTTAAAATTTTTGCAAGTAATGGAAAAACACATTTTTATATGGCGGGGAATACGTAGTAAATATTAAAAATTTATTATATCGATAAGGAAAATGATTTTTTCTATTCCCGTCTGTAAAATACCTAATTACCCACCGATCTAGCGTGCGGGAAGCGTCACTTTACCACGTCAGTTTTATTTCCCACGGCTCCGAGCCACTTCGGACATTTCTGAGATTTTACCGCACGGGTTTGGAAGCAATCGAATGATTTCGGAGATATTTCCCACGCCTTGAATTTGACGTTTGCCAATTCTGATGGCCATGTTCCTGTTGTTTTGAGAAAACGTACAAAAGAAACTAACGGTCGTAGCAAAAATTACAGTATGCGACACGTTCGGTCCGCTGCGCTCCGCTCGTGTTAAATAGATTAGTGAGTCAAATATTGTTTACCACCCTGGTTGCATAATATACTATTTTCTTCTCCTGTCTGTAAAATATCTAATTACACAGCGATCTAGCATGCGGGAAGCGTCACTTTACCACGCCAATTTCGTTTCCCACGGATCCGAGCCACTTCTGACGCTTCCGGGATTTTACAACACGGGTTTGAAAGCAATCGAATGTTTTCGGAGATTTTACCGCACGGTTTGAATTTTGACGTTTGTCGATTCTGACGGTCAAGTCAGTGAATGTATTTGTGTTTTTTTGCAATAATGTACCCAAAAATAATGCACAGAAAAAAGTTATGCAATATATCAGACGATTTAAACACTACGTGCTATAAGCTACAATTTAAATCTAGTGGACCATTCGATAAGTAATGTGACATTTATAATTTAAGTATCCCACAGCAATTATAAATACCGTTCGCATAAATTTTAGTGGTTTTTACAGTTTTTATATTACTATCTTGCCAAGACCATTTGTACCATTTTCAAATATCCATATCTCATCAGTACAAACAAAACAAAATTGAAGGTTAGGACCTGCTTTCTCTTGCTTATACCATCTTAAAAATTTAATCCTCTTAAAAGCTATATCCTTGGATGATTTTCCTTCCAATTACCGTCTTTTTCTTTAAATAAACTACCTAATGATCAATTGTAAAAGTTAAACAAACAACGTAACCTTTTAAAATTGTGTTTATTTCGTTGTTTATATGTCTAACGTACACAGTTAAAAAGAGACAATAGCAGAATCGATCGGAATGATAAACGAATAGGTTTAATGACAACTAGTAAATATTTTGTTGAATGGTAGAAAATTTAGTAACAGATAATCTGTTATTATTTTTTCTTTGTTAAATTATGATTTCTTCGTGACGGTCGTAGAAAAAGTATAGCATGCAATAAGTTTGTTAATAGTATATTATCCAACAAGTGCGGTAAACGGCTTAAAAAGTTTAGGGAACGTGTTGCATACTATACTTTTCCTAGGACTGTTGTTTTTGGGTACATTTTCGCAAAACACGAATACATTCACTGACATGGCCGTCATATTTGACAAACGTCAAAATCAAGGCGTGGGAAATATCAACTTTGCTCTGCCGGTTGCTCCCAAACGCATGCGGTAAAATCGCGGAAATGTCCAATGTGGCTCGGATCCGTGAGAAACGAAACTGACGTGGTAAAGCGACGCTTTTGGCACGCTAGGTCGGTGCGGAATTAGGTATTTTACAGACGAGAGTACAAAAACGTCATTGGACTCACGAGTTTATTTGACACGGGCGGAGCACAGCGGAGCGAGTTTTTAATAAATGAGTAAGTTAAAAACTTTACCGAACGTGTTGCATAATATACTTTTTCTAGGACCGTTAGTTTTTGGGTACATTTTCGCAAAACAACACGAATACATTTACTGACATGACTGCCAGAATTAACAAACGTCAAAATTCAAAGCGCGGGTAATATCTCCGAAATCATACGATTGCGCCCAAACCCGTTCGGTAAAATCCCAGAAATGTCCGAAGTGGCTCGGACCCGTGGGAAACAAAACTGGCGAGGTAAAGTGACTCTTCCCGCACGCTAGATCCGTAGATAATTATGTATTTTACAGAAGGGAGTACAAAAACTCTTTATCTCACTCGTTTATTAAGCACTCGCTCCACTGCGCTCCGCTCGTTCCAAACAAACTTGTGAGTTAAATTCCATTTACCGCACTTGTTGTATAATATACTATTAATCTTAGTTGACTATTTTCTTTTTAGAATTCAGCTGTATTCTCCAAAGCTGCTAATAAGTGTAAATATTAACTGTTTAACAGTTGTCAACATAAACCAGATTCTCCGTATACTTTTTCAAGGATACAAATAATAGTTTTTGGTATTTTTGTGTAGTTGATGCCGATGATACGACCTTGTTATGCTTAGACTCACGGATGAATCTCTTACCCAAAACATGGAACACAATATGACGAATCCGTTAGATTGGTTTATTTTATTTCAAAATGTTTATAAAACATGAGTTTAACATTCCTGAAAGTTGTGTTAGAGCTTTAAAGTTAGAATGCCATGCAGAACTGGCAAAAACAAGAGCATTTACTTTATAGAGGAGAGCTTACCTGGGTGTAGTTATGCTAGGGTACAGGATGCCCAATGCTTTTTATTTATGAATGTAAATGAATAAATGAAATGAATATTAATGAAAACAAACACAAGATTTGAATGCTCTGTAATTCTCTCCTTTTTGCTCTCACTTTCTTTAATAAAAGCCTTTCAAATTAATATTTGCAAACTACAAATCACGAAGTACAGGGTTATATATAGTTGTTTAGAATTTTTGAATTCTGCAATAGACATATGATACACAGTAGGTGTAAATGTAGGTAAATTGGAAGTAGATAGTTAGGATCGGCCCACTTCATTGGCTCTGAAATCTTAAAACCTAGTTCCCCTAATCTTGGCTTTCTTAGTATACTTTAATCAAATTTTTAATGTTTTGGGACACCTTCAAACTTTACTATAAAAACGTATTTTACCATTTTGAAGTATGTAAAATTTCATATTCCTTCCATATCTTCCTTCGATACTTACCCTACGGCTGTCCGGCAGCTGGGGAAACACAAAGTCTGACGCTGTGAGTAGGATTTTGTAAGGCGCTTTGGAGGTCCTTTTTTTGAGCAGTTGGTACCTCACAGCAGCAACCGAACCCAGGATTAGGAACACTACTAACACGGAGCACGATATCACCCAGTACACCCACGCACTGGAACAAAAAACACGCTATCGTTGGTTAACGTACGCTGTGGGTCGGAAAAGCATTACGGACCGCCGATCAAACCAGTGCAAACGAATGTAAGTGACAACATGATAAACGGCCGCGATAATTTCAAAAATGAAAATTAACTCGTGAAATAATTAGTAACCGAGCAAATGGAAATTAGGATTTTGAGTGGAAATAGGTTTCCGTTTTCTCACTTACCTAAAAAGATTATCCGCTGAAAATTTACAAAACGCGTCGCACTCCTCTAACTGTTTATGCGTTAACACCCACTCTTGGAAGTTCCGGTCCACCGTCTCGATCTCAAACGAACTCGTATTCACACCCGATACCCTCAAAAGCGGACGAAACGAACCATCCGAACTAAGAGCGGTGAGAACAAAATATAAAGGATCGCGTATACTATCAACAGAAAAAAACCGTTTTACATTGTTCACCAAGTAAAGTTCAATGCTAAAATCGATCTGATTGTCAACGAAAAGTAGCACGTCTGGAGATGACGCGTGGTGGACACTGTTTGACGCATTGGCTTTGATTTTGAAGTGGTATCTCCATGATGGCAAGCTGAGTACGTCCAAAAATACAGATAGCGTATTGTCCGACGACAGGTTGAACTTGTCCGTTACTTGAGCAATAGTAAGACCCAATTCGTCAGCAGGTAGACATAAAACTACGGCTGAAACAAAATATTTGCTCTATAGTCGCACTTTATTGGTAGATGCGCAAGGTATGTGTTATCAATCTGGAGTAAATTGACTAATTCTGTAAGGTGTTCTGAAAGTATCTCTTCTGTTGTTTTGCCGGATCCTCTTTCAAAAAGCCAAAAATAGTGATTGCGACCTTCATACCTATAGTTACTGAGCAAACCCAATAAGCAATAATTTTCTTCTTACGACAATATTAAACAAGATTGCTTTCGAAAAATCGTCCCTGTGCACGGCAAGTTTGTAGAGCGTAGCGCGAAGCGGCTTTGTATTTTCAAAAGAAGCCGCTTCGCGTTTTCTTTTGCTAGAGAGACGCATTGCTTTTCTATCGTGCTCCTGCGGTCCACGATGGAACTTTCTCAAAACGATGTAAATATATTGTGAATACACCCTGTATATAGCGTCTTTCCCGTATCGCCGAATTTCAAAGTCAAGACAAACTTTGATAGATATAAAAAATACGTAATAAGTAATAACGATTTCCAAAGATATTATTCCAAGTATCTCGCTCACTCTGTAAGATAAACGAAACCTGAAACTCTCTAGATAGAATTTACGACACTGTTTAAATCAAATTATAAATCAATTTATAGTTTTCCATTTACGACGAATAATTTATCTACGAAAACGGTAATTCTCAGGGTCTTTTAGAATTGTTTTACCCATAATCGACACACTCTGTATATATTTTAACAAATCCGGAAATGGAAGTTATCGCCCTGAAACTTCCACGTTTCCTGGTCCAAGATTTCTCCCAAAATAGTAAATGGTTTTCGAGAAAATAAGGTTTATCTGAAACCATGCAGTGCATCGGAATAATCAATGACATTATCGCGTCTTGACTGAGCCCCGGAATAGTCATTTTCGTATGGATTTTTTCAAATATCTTGATCAGCGTGTGTGATAGACGAAATCAGCAAATACAAAACTTGTAGCTCTTGATGCGGCCACAATGTTTGAACCGATTATCCATATTTTTTACGATTTTTAATTTGAGGTTAATAATTTACACTGGAAAAGAACATATTTCTGGGTTTTTTAGATTTTTGTCTATAATTGGAAACCCATTTACATAATCGAAAAAATGTCTGAAATAAATGATATAGCACTGTATCTTTCGCGTTTGCTGATTAAATAATTTTGCCGATCGGGTGAATCATTATGGAAAAATAATGCCAGAATAACCAAAAAAAATATATTTTTTTTAACACTTGAAATTGTGGATTGTGAAATTTGATTCAACCCAATATTAAAATTTCGACTAGTTAAATGTAGGCAAGGACTTTTACTTCTCTACTAAATTTGAGGTCGATATCTGCAAATTTAGGACACTTAACGTATTTCTTATAATGCACGGAATATCGCGAGCACCCTGTACAATGGGTGAAAACCTTAAATGCAAAAGTTTTAGCGGTCTATACGGGCTATATCGTCATGTAAAAGAAACTAACATCTGAGATACAGTCTTTTAGTTATATCTAATTTTCAATATTAAGGGGACCCATTTTTCAGTTTTTTTGAACATGCGACCAACTCTGTACATTTTTGAAAATTATCAAGAATAAAAGTTTATGGAGCCAAATGCGTCTTCTCGTTCAAGAATTTTTTTTAAAAAACTTTCCAAACCCGCAACTCCCACAATTTCAATACATTCCGTTAGAGGACCAAACGATATTTGCCTGACCAATTTGAAGTCGATAGCTTCAAATTTCGGACACTTATCGTGTATTATAGCAACGTCCAAAAAACAGTCGAAAATAAAAAAAATGGACGCCGAAGCTTGAACGCAGTCATTTATGCAACCCATCGACGGTTAAAAAGGAGCAAACTTGAAGCGTATAGCTCAAACGGTTAGGAAGTTATCGTCGAAAAACCCTGGAACAGAGAACGGAGAACGGACAGACAGAAAAAAAAAATTTTTTGACGCTGATCGAACAAAATATGCTAAGATGGATAAAGTGAAATGGAAGCTAGAAAAAGATGAAACAAATAAAATTTTTAGTCGTACCACCCTTCCTAGAGTTATTTGTATAATGGGATACCACAAAACAGAAAAGTAAGTGGTAATGTTACCGCACAGATTGCGCATTTGGAAATTCAATTGAATTGATTGCTTATTGTCTGAGAAGAATATTAAAACTGATTTCAAAATTTTCTTTTAAAAAATATTCCGAATAACAGTGTCATTGTCCAAAAACTGAAATTCATTAATACCGTTTAAAAATTAGTATTTATTTTGTACTCTTAAAAATAATATAATCATTTAGCTGAACAGATGGGGCATACCGTTTTTCGTTTTCCTTCATGTCATTCCATCATCAACTCTAAACGGCATTTGTGGCACTAATTTAAACCAAATGTAATAACAAAAAAGTTTACTCCTCCTTTAAGTTTCAGTGTAATAAATTTCATTAAAAATTTAAATAAAAAAAATCAGAATTGAAGATTCTACATTTGCATATAAAATAACAAGAGCTCATTGTAATAAATCTTAATGATACTGACAACAAAAACAAAACCATGTGGACTATTTGTTTGTGAAGTAACATCTAAAGATTAAAACCATAATGAAATGGATACACAATGTCCTAATAAACTCGCAAATGACTTGCATCTATTAAACATAGCGCAAAGCATAATTAGTTATAGCGTGTGTGCCAGTTTTGAATGTAAGATTCGCGAGAATAATCTAAAAAGTTAAAACCCATTCAGTGAAAGAATTATAAGAAATATCAAAAAATCTCAAAAATACATACGGAAATGGAGATTAAATTCCAGTTAGTAAAATGACATTTTGTATAAGCGCATACTACAGTTCATATAATTAACTCTTTGACATGTAATATTTTTCCGAAGCAATAAAGGCCATTTAAAAATTATCCCAGTGTATAAAAAAGTCTTACAGACTTAAATAATAATCCACCAATTAGGCTTCTCCCAAGTTTGTCTAAAATATTTCAGATGGTTGAGAAAGTGTTCTCTATTGAAAAATTTTGATGAGAAACGCTCTTTATTTTCAGAATAAAAACACAGTTATCTGAAGGGAAGATCTAGAGTTTTAATTTGCCAGAATAACTGTCAGTCACAAACAAACAATAATACAACTTTGGGCATATTTCTTGATATAAGTAAAGCGTATAATTGTATGAATCGAACAGAAATGCCTACAACTGGATTTGATATTACTATCGGACAGGCAGCAACATTTAGTGATTCAGAATGATGATGGTCTTATGAAATCCAAAACCAGAGAAACCAAAATTAATTAACCAATCAACCAATTAATGAATTTCGTGTCTAAAACTTAACAGTATCGGCTATATTATTAGAGTGGTGTCTGTGTATTTAAATCTATAATGTTCTGGGAAGGAAATTTTGATAATCAGAGAGTTTTCGTTGTTCAAAAGAAACTCATCGGCAATATTAAAAAAATTAAATACCTAGACACTTGCAGGGCAGTTTTTCAAAAGTTAAACCTATAACTATTTTTTAGTGTCTACTATTTATTTACAAAAAACAAAGGCAAACTTTTACAGAGAAAAGCTAACACTATATGTGCCTCAAACTTTTAAATAAACTGCCGCTTTCCTTGAAACGTATAACTTGCTTAAAATTATTCAAGCAATAAATAAAGAGTATTTTGGTTAAAATTGAACCGTATAGCATTTAAACACTTTAGCTTTTTTTTGTGACGCTATTACCCATTTGTAATCGGGTATCAAATATATATAAATATCACTTATAATTATTAAAACACCTTAAAAGTCCGTCCCTGATGCTCTGTCCTACAATACCGACTGGTCAGAAGTTTTATTGCGGTCGGCAGGTTATTTCGATAATAACAGTCAAAAGTTAAGACGATATACTTTGAGACGTACAATAACCAGCATTGTAAACTACTACTACTGCAACACTGGTAAAATTTTGTAGCGAAACTTCTTCTTGAAGCAATTTCATCTTCACTTCTGTTTAAGTGGGGGTTTCTCGGCTTCTGTCGCTGTTACCTTCTGTAGCTTGAGCTCCAGATTTGGAGAAGGAGATCGATATCGTTAATCCGTTCTTTAATTACGTTAACTTCCGTAACGTCGAAACCACATCAGACGTCACGAATACACATTCGCACGCAAGATCAATCCATTCATTTTCGGACAAGCTTCCAACACGTGGATACAAACTAAAACCTAACTAACTGACATTAATTGTTCCCCGGTTCGAAATTAATTCAAATCCCGTCATCTCATTAACCGCCTAAACTCGTTATCGTCAAATCCTCCCCCTTTCTCCATTCTACTGAGAATAACAACAAACTCGAAGCTTATATTATCCGATGCCGCCATAGTTGAATAAATAACCGACGAATTGTTATGAAGCGACGATGTTTCATAAAAGCAATTGAGAGTGTTGCTTATAAATGTGGTTTAAATATAGCTATTTTTAAATAATTATAAATATAGCGATAATCGCGGTACGTTTTTTAAGTTCGTACCACCAGGTTGGAGAAGTCACTAGCATTGATAACAAAAATTACTGAGAACCAGGTTGGAGAAGTCACGACCATTGGTAAAAAAAGTTGCTGAGAATGAAAGACTGCCCTGAGGGAACTTGTTACCGTCTGATCCATCTTTTGGTAGTACTTAGCAGCCATTATACAATGATATTTAAAGCGAATACTGTCAAAATTGGAGGATTTCTCTTTTCAGACCAAAAAATACAAAGCACAATTCGTTACCCTGTTCTGGAAAGCGTGATATTGAAACGAATTCGGAAATTGGAACACTATTTAAGGGTAATTGTGGACGTCAAGCATTCCAGAAGGCTTGCGCATCTCTATTCTGTCACCTTTGTGGACACAACTGAAGATTGTTGAGCATTGTTCCAACCCTCCGACAGACAACTCCCCAAGTACCTATAATCTGTTATTCCCTACAAAAACCTTCGATTTTAATAAATATGGGCCAGCCTTTTGTGCTGACCTCTGTCGAAGTTTTTCTCATAACCAACGAAACCAAGGAAGACATTTTTCTTCACTTCACAAAATTTCAGAATCTATGTTGAATTCCTAAAAATATGGGCTGGGATAACCACAATGTCAGCACGATATTCAGTTTGAGTCTTTCTAAAGTTTTTTTTTAGTTGGACCCCCAAAGTCCAAAACCATTCCATCTTAAAAATCTAAAATATAGATAAAACCTACAATTTTGTTCTATATAGTCGGGGATTGTATTGTTAGATAGAGAGATCAATTTAATCCTAATCTTGATCGTAACCATGTAGATATAGTACATTTTTACGAATTTCCGTTATACCGATCATTTGGATCAATACCAATTTGACTATGAAAAGGTAGTCGATTAAGTAATTCCCACTCCAATTTAAATAACAATTTCACTGCCAAGATTTAAGAAGTTATCTGAATTTTTGGCCGCTATGTGTTGCTGTGGATTATATTCTAATTAAAACTTTTCCCGTTTTTCTGTTTCGGGAAAATTCAAAATTAGGTAAATCCTAACTTACGCGCCGACGCTTATTCATAAACAAAGTAAATTGACCGTCCCCAATTTAAAGCCCACATAATTTCACCAAAAATCTTTTCCTTCCCCGGAGATTAACCAGTCAATTAATTTTAATTCAAGAGCCGCGTGAAATGCGGCCATAGGCCCTTTATTATTGCAGATTACGTTTCAATTAATTCTTTTGCGTCCCACTTTTTTGTATGACCCTGCTTTGTTTATAATGATGACGTGGGTGGTTTTCTTTTTTTTTTTTTCATTTCTTTGACTAAACCGCGACACTAGTTTTTTGAACTTTATTTCTAAAACCAGCTGACTAAATAAAAGAATGAAAGACCTCGGACCAGTTAAATTAAATTTAATCTCAGTTATTATGCAGCTATAATTGGATGATTTAGAGGTATTCTATAACTAGTATCCAAAAATAATTTAATAAAATACAAAACATATTTTCGTTATTGTTTAAGATTGTATTGAAAATATGACATATTTGTAATTATATCTTCTATAATGAAATAAAATAAGGTAAAAATACACAGAGAAATATAGAAAGAGTAGGATAATGCTCCATATGCCGTTGCTGTATCATTTTAGTAGATGAAATGTGTAAGAAAGAAAACTGCTTATATAATTGTATACATTTGCACTATTTATAGAGATCAGTCCCTCTAATAAGCTATAGGCATCCGACACGGTCTATCTCTCAGATAGTAACCCTAATTCTATTGAATTCAGTACACGAGTATTTATATATTGTCAATATTTCTGTTTGCATCACATTAATAATAATACAGGCGTGACACTAAGTCAATAAATCCGTCGAAATCATTGAGAGTGGTTGAGCTAATGGAGAGGAACATTAAACTAAATTTCTTGAATGTAATCAGTTCTTCCATTTAAGAAAATTCCGAGAATACATAGAAATTTTTAAGCAACGAAATAATCTTAACCGCGACTCAGATCTTTCACTAATATGTGAATCAGTCATGCGTGAGATGTCCATCACGTAGCTACGCCACCCTCAAATAATATATAAGCAGGAATAAGTTAGAATGCGAGCCAGTTTAAGTTAAGCTCTGAAAAATTCAATAGAATGATTGACGAAATATTTGCAAATAGTGTTTTCAATACCGCTTGCAGTATTTTAGTGATAGTCAAAGAATGTTCCTCTACTAGATAAGACAGCCAGCAAATGCACATAATTTTAAATATAAATAAAGGTTTTAAAACATTGCATAATAGTATATTATTTAACGAGCGTATTATGAAGGCCATAATAAACGAGGATGATTTATAAAACGAGCCGCTTGCGGCGAGTGTTATAATCATCTGAGTTTATTATGGTCCATAATACTCGAGTCAAATACTATACTTTATCTACAACCATCCACTTATATAGGGTACCTCACCGGAATTGAAATGTGTCATTTTATTGTGAAAAAAAACTATACACGGGAGAAACCTGAAAATTCGGTAGGAAGCTAATGCTGATGGCAGAGCAATTCAGCTAGAATATTCTCAAGATGGTGGCACTTCCGGTTAGGCCGGAAGTGGATGTTAACTTGCTTTATATGAAATGGAACATAATATCATACATTTTTAGATTCTACCATTCACTCAATATCAACACTGGTTACTGTTTATGTATGCTGTTTATGTTATATGTTTATGTGTTATGAGTTGTGATGTAATAAGGAATAAATTCAATGAAAGTCCTGGATTGAACATTTAATAAGTTTAATAATATTTAATTAACATTTACACTTCAGCACACAATTATTTTTAAATTGACGCTTAATAGGATCATTATGTATTACTCTGTCTATTTCATAAAATTGATTGTTATATTAGGGCAGTTATTGAAATTCATCGTAGTTGGTGTAGTACCAATACTAATGTCCGTGGTGTCTTTACTAATCGAAAAAGTGTTATGAGAAGATTCGCTCGTAATAGTAGACATACCTGGATATTGTGAGGGGGTAGAAACAAAAGTACTGTTATTAATATTACAATTAGGGTTGATTTGACTTAATATTTTAGTAGCTGCATCGGTCTTGTTCTTCTGCGAGTCTGCAATATAGCCTTCAGCTACAGAAGCCGACTTCCAGCCTCCGTGGCGCTTCAGAGCTGTCATACTTGCCCCTGCGTCGACATACAATGTGGCTGAAGATCGTCGTAGACAGTGCCCGGTATATCTTTCTGGGTTTTTGATTTGTAAGAAACTTGCAATTTCTCTGCCCATTTTGGCAAACTTGTTAATGCCGATAACTTGTTTTGTGCATTTTCCATTTTGAAAATTCATAAAAAAAGAATCTGATGCATTTGGCAGTCTCAGATTTGCATATTTTTTAACAATATCATGGAACTTCTCAGTAATAGTAAAATTCCTAGGGATCTTGGTCTTCGTAACGGGAACTATTACTCTAGTGCAACCTTCATAAAATGTAACGTGTTGTATTTTCATTGCATGTAGTTCATTTGAGCGGCATGCACCCATCACTCCCATAATTAATGCAACCTAAAAAATTAACACCTCTTGGTAAATACCGTAGGTATGTAACGTCTTATCATTCCTTACCTTTGTAGCCAAATATTTTGTATCAGGAGCTTCATAAATAAATTTATTTATTTCCTGTCCGGTAAATGCCTTAGATTTTTTGGGTTGATAGCCTTCTGATTGTCTTTTTAATAAAGCATGTAGCTTCGCGTAGTGGTCGATCTTGACATTGTGTTTAATATAAAGTGTGCTTTTCAGCATGGAATAAAACGTCCACAAGGAGGACGACTTATACTTTTTAGCCAATTCTTTGAAATACACTAATAATGTATCTTCAGAGAAGGAGGTGGCCTTGTTTCTTGATCGCCAATCCATGAAATTGTTGTAGGCAATTTCATAATTGTTTCTTGATTTCTTGGGAAGTAAATCCAGAGACGCAGCTTCCGCTGCCGCTCGAATTTCCGGGGGTGTTAGTACTTCGTTTTCAGAATCCATTTTTATTAAATCTTATGTTTTAATTGCAAGGCGAAATTTTAAAGCTTCTCTATATGAATATTATTTACTTTACAATTATTATTTCATGAAAGAAAATGTTTGTATTCACGATGAGCGTCGCGTCGGGTAAGCTGTCGCTATGGATACCCGCTGCGCGCTGTCAGATTTAGCCTGCACGGCCTACTAATTCTTTTTAATTATTGTCATATTGGTTTGTATTTTTTGAACTGTTTTTGAATAATAGAATTGAATTGGTAACGTGTGTATGACTTTAATATGGGTAACTTTATAGTAAATTTTCATAAAAATAATAAATGAAATGTGTGAATTCTGCGCCGATTAATTGAAGCCCGGATTATTAAGAATTCCAGAATATTTTATTACACTTGTTGTTTTATGATATAATTACACTTGTTTTTTTATGATATAATTACACTTGTTGTATTATGCGTAGCATAATACTCTCACTGTCAGAAGTATTATGCGTCTATTATTAAATGGTTGTAGATAAAATAAATATATTCCCTGTCAATATAGGTTAATTATTAAAGAACTATTTTTTATTATGAGCTTTATTTATAAATTTGTGAATATATAAATGAAAGAAAGTAAAGTAAAAAGAATAAATAATTTAATAATATTCAATAACTTTTTTTTTTGGTGAGTGAGAACTTAAGCATCCGTTATAATAGGCAAATTTGTCTGGTAACTACCCAGGGTGTTTCAGAAATCAGATTTTAAAGGTCTATTTATCAGCCATATTTTGTTTTATGTTTTTCCTATAATCGTTTGTACTAACTTGCCTCGTTTTCGAGATACAGAGTGCCAAAAATCATTGGGTCATTTATTTTGACATTTTTTGCTCATTTTGACAAAATTTTATTTCTCTTTCATCTGTTTCTTATTTTTTGATAATCCAGTGATGCCGCAGAGCGTGATTAAACTAATATATATTTAGATCAAGCAATCAAAAATGAAACATTTTTTTTGTATCTAGCTCCATCTTTAAAATAAAAATTAGGAACCGACTTTATAAAAACTTCAAAAATTTGTTTCATAAATCTGGTATTGTTTATTTCAAGTTATTGTACTTACAATAAAATTATTTATTTTAGTTTTTCAAGTCATTCGGAAAAAAAAACGAGATACGTACGACTCACGTTAATATGAACAAGTGGCCTGTTATTGACTGATAAATGCTCTCTTGAAGTCCTTGTGTTAAATTCTGAAACAGTGAAATGGTCGCAGCTACCCCATCCCTGCATCAGTAGGAAATCAGCAAAGAAAATCGTTCACCTTTTCCAATCACCAAAGAAGAAAAAACAACCTAACATCAACGTAATTAACGAAATTGCCACCACTTACCCCTGCAAGGTTTGGTCTTCAGTATCCGTAGTTTATTTTCTACGTGTCGTCGTGAGCTGTTTTTGTCGAACGTGAAAAAGTATTTCGGCACGATTCCCAATTCTCTCAGCTCAACGTCGAGGTTTCGTGAAAGAGACGGCCACCAGCCAGAAACTGAAATTAAATTCGGAGATAATTAAATGTTGCCCCTTTTTTTCCGCCGCAAACCAACGTGTACGGTTTCGCTAATGTCTCCTATTCAGTGTCAGTTTGAGTGAACACGGGCACGCCGCTGGCGATCCAACTCGTAGTCGAGACGGCAACAGCGCGGAGTGACAGGATAAGTTTCATTTTAAGAGAAAATTTATCGTACCCCAAACTTGACCTTACATTTTGCTATTTTCTCTGGAGTGTTTAAGATGGTGCTTTAAGTTTAGAACGTCCTTGTTTGGGGGAAATTTATTGCCTCCTGCAATAATTTACGACCAAAGTAGGAAATTAATTAAATAGTGTGTTTATTTCCGCTGACTTGTCGCATCGCTCCGACGGATGTTTTTGTTTTTGTACGACAACAGATGTACGATACTTTTGCAAGGTATTTCAGTTATCTTTAAAGACTACAAGATAGTTTTTGCGCCATTCTTGTGAAGCAAAAGACGACGGAAACGAAATTACTCTATACCTTTTGAAAAGTGTATTTTAAAGCGTATCTTCTCTACCTGACTTGAAACGCTAATTGTTGTTAATTTTTCAAAGAAACTTCCACAGGTTACTGTAATACTTTTTATAAAACTTCTGGATTCCTCCTGCGTCGGTTTTTGTTGAGTCGAGCTAGCTAACGTTTCGCCAATCACCCTGTTGGCTTGTTCAGAAGAAATCCAGAAGTTTTATAAAAACTAATGATTGTTCTTTGCACAACTTTCAGCGTAGATTCAGCGCCGTGTAGAGTAAGAGATCAGTTCAAAGGAAATTTAACGCTACTTTGTTATTTTAATGGATCCTATTTTTATTAAGATTGCCAATTTGTAGGACCAATTAAAATACATAGCGAAACTCATATTTGGATAGTTTGACAACTTTCATTAACGAAATCAAGATAAACGCATTGTTTTTAGATAGGGTTCGCTGGCATTCACAAAAATCCTTTAGTCAACTTCAACTTGAAGAAAATTGTGAAGAAAGTGAAAGAAATGTTAGTAGTAATTAATAAATATACCTTACTATATAACTACTTTTAATATAACACTTTTATTTTAAAAATAACTCATAACCTTTAATATGGCGCTTATAAACATGGAAAAGGCGCAAATTTTTTAATAGATCCCTAAGTGAGGTCCGGGATGTTTCTAAATAACGTTTCTGTGTTCTTTAAAAATGCTATGAAATTATTGTATAAGTATCGTTTGAAAAGGTTATTCGCGGTAAAACAGTATTACAAAATACTTATACAATGATTTTATAGCAGCATTGAAAAATAGATGCTCAGGCTTAGATGTAAATACAATGTTTTCAAATTGAAATGACAAGTTACCAGATCAAATACTGCAAGTAGCTGTACTAGGCTTACACCTCAGAGTCAGAGTTCTTAAATGCTACGTTTTCTCAATACTAACACATGGGGTGGAAGCTTGGACTCTAACCGACGCTGCATGTAAACGTCTGGAAGCATTTGAGATGTGGTGCTACAGACGCATGCTTAGAATATCATGGACCTACCGCGTAACCAACGAAGCCGTCCTACAGCGTATGAGAAAACAAAAAGAGGTCTTAAACGTAATCAAGGAACGCAAACTATCATACTTCGGCCATGTTATGCGAAACCAGAAATATAGCCTACTCCAGCTTATTATGCAGGGCAAGCTTAACGGCAAAAGAGGTCCTGGAAGACGAAGAATATCGTGGCTGCGAAATCTAAGACAATGGACGGGAATGACATCTATGGATCTATTTCGGGCTGCAGCAAATAAAATCAGATGGGCCATAGTAATCGCCAACGTCCACTGAGGATAAGGCACAGGAAGAAGAAGAAGAAGCTGTACTAGCTCGCTCTCTCTCTCTCTCTCTCTCTCTCTCTCTCACACACACACACACACACTCTCGTTTATTTCACTTTTTTTTTGCGCTTTTTACAAGGGTTTGTACTAGATTTCTTTGAATGACAGACACTTGATTTTCACGGTAAATTATATAGGGTGATCCAAGTAGTAACATTTTTTAAAAAAATAGTAACAGTTAAAAATCATTTTTTTTAGTGCAACTGCATATTTGAGATCAACGTGAATTCGTCCAGAGATAAATTATTGGACTGGTTGCATTTTTAAAAAATTAGTTTTTCTATTACTTTTATTTAATTCAAAAATATTTTTATTTTTATAAGATAATAATGCCGACAAAAATTATTTTTTAAATGTTCCTCTAATGCTCTCCTAAATTATTGGGTTGATGGCGGCTTCATAAAGTTTACAGAATTTGGCTTAAATTGAATTTTATCCATATTATTTTTTTTTTGTTTCTAATAAAGCATTGCTTGCCGTTCTATTACACTCTGAATGCCAAATCCGATCTTACAATCGAAACTTTTGATAGACTTTATTGATATTAATGTCATTTTTCCTATTTATGACAAGATGGTTGCCTCAAATATGAAGTTCATTTCGATTTCAATAATGGAAAACGTGGCGACTTGAATTAAATCATTTTTATCCTTTACGACATACCTATAAAATTAAACTGAATTTGAATTAACACAATTCTGATATGCAGTGCCCGCGTAAATGATGGAACCCCCTTTAATTTTTGACCCTTCTATATAGCACGGTGAAATTTGGCATTCACGTATATAATTAAACTGACTAATTTTTGAGGGGTCATGTGACACTTCTTTTTAAAGGTCTTTTGACGTTCTATTCGCATACCAATTTTGAAAACATTTGATTCTTCAGTTTTGGAAAGACATAATTATAATTATTGTAAGATTGTAAGATTTCCTGTAAATACATCATCAGAGAGAGCCAGACGAACAACTAAAATGAATTTCAAAGAGACAAAGTTTTTCAGCAGGACTTTTCCTAACAGGACCCCTGGACTTTTTTCTTTCGGAATATCTAAAAAGTGAAATTTATGTTACAAAACAAAATTCAGTTAAAGATCAGAAAGACGGAGTTGAGAAATGTTTGCAGTGTAATTCCCTGAGAAACTTTGCATATCGTTAGGAACATTTAATAAAATAGTTGATAAAATGATAAAACTATTTTTTTAAAATTTATGCTAAGTTCAAATAATAGAAAAGTATTAAAGCATTTGCAAGCATTCATTTGACCATCTTGCAAAAACTGAAGCATCAAATGTATTCAAGATGGGTATGCGAATAGAACGTGAAAAGACTGCTGTCATTTTCACATTTTGATTATATACGTGTATGCCAAATTTCACCATGGTACAAAAATAAAATGGGGTTCCATCATTTACGAGGACACTGTATCATTTACCTATATAAAAGTATTCGCGAAAACAAATTTGTTTCTCTAGTTGCGCACCTATTTCTATTTCAACAGCCACAATGTTGTCAAAATTCAAATATTTCTTAATGTTCTATATTTTGTATGGAAATTATTGTCTTTTTGTTTTTATAGTCATTTGCTGTGAAACATTTAGGCTACTTTTACCGAACCCATCAATTCCTGTTCAAGAGTTCATAATTATTGTTGGTTATCATCGGCAAAAATAACTGATATTGCAGGAAGCAGCCCATGGTCGGATGCGTTGATTCACCTTAATATTTTTACTGCTTTCGGAGAGCTGTGTGGTATCTTTTTCGTCACTTGAATCGACATTGGTACTATCTCGGCTCTAATTGTGATCAGCGATAGATGATGTCACAACCATTTGATTTACAGTATCTTAAGATGAATTTAAAATTCGTTTAATTTTTTTTCCAATTAGAAATTTGGCCCGGCATGTTATAGCTTTGCAGTAGACTCAATTCTGAATTAGCATAAAAAAATAGATTAGTATTAAAGAATGTCGCGTAAGATAAAATTGCTATTTTAAAGCGCTTTTTATTTTATTAGCTGTTTCATTATTTTATTTCAAGCGTCAATAAATAAAATGACCTTTAAGGCAAAAATGAGGCAACATGCAAATTGTTTTGAAGGTAAATCTCCAGAACAACTATAAATTCTTGCTATAAAAGTCTTACAAAAAACAAAATTTTATTTTTATTATGATATCCTGCATCCCCAATAAAATCCTTTTTAAAACAACTATTAAATGAATTTAGCTCAAGCATACATAGTTTTATAAATATTGACTTATGACCATGATTAGACACATTTGATACGAAGCCTTTAATAATGTTTTATTAATCAGTCTCATCAACAACCATAAGGCACTTTAATAAAATATATCAGTTTCTAAAGCATATATACTTGGGTTATAACTCAAAAAAAGTAGAAAATTTGTTGTGCACGCCAGTGACTTCTACATAAAACTATGTAACAAAAGCTTTATTTAGCTTTTTGATTAATTTTACATTTTCATATTGACATATTTAAACTAATAGTTTTCGATAAAGATTTTCATACTTAATTTTTACGAAGGCATCTCAGACGCCAGAAGTTATGAGTTAATTACTTATGTTGCTTTATTTATATATAGATATTCAGAAACACGAAAGGAAATTCCAAAGTAGACGATGGTAATTCTACTTTCGTGCTTTACCTAAAAGCAATAATTGAACTGAATTATTGAATGATTTTTAGTTCGCGTGCTTTTTAGTTATTCCATGCGGAGCGGAATAGTGGGTCAACATTGAATGCGATGCGCTCTTTTCCTATTTGGCATTTAGTTTCAAAGTTTTTCACTTGGTAAAACAAAACGATATATCGGGGAGGATGTTTTCGACAATCTGATTTCAAAAAATTTAACAATCTGAATACGTTTTCAATATACACCTGCGAAAGTGGATCCTTAAATTATTACTTGGTAAAAACAAGCTTGGTGTAGATTCAGGGCAGCTGTTTTTTGTTATAGAATGGTTTCAGTCTGAGATTAATCAGTGCCCTAGCAGTTCCTAGCTCACAATCCCACAAGAAAAGTCATATAAGAAATTTCTTAGTTGTAATAAGATCGTAGTGGGGTCCTTTTTAAAGGTTTGTTGTCGCGAGGAAATTAAT